TATATATATATTATGTTATTATTAGTTATGTATGTATGTATAGTACTAATTACGTTGTTATAGTATATATATATATATATATATATATACGTGTGTGTGTGTGTGTGTGTGTATATGTATATATATAAACATATGCCTCACTTCCCTCACCACTCAGGACCAACTGTCACATTTTGCTGGCGATATAGTGACGGGTGTGGGACTTCTATTCAAAGGTTGTAAGACAGGCATCTCGGATGCGGAAACGCGCAGACTACACAAGAAGCTTCTGATCCCTTTCATTGTGGCTATAGTTGTGTCGTTTATAGTAGTGAAGCTCTTGCTGCTGCCGGTCTTGGTATGTCTGGGCTTGTATGTATATGTATGCGGTTAGTTGTTTGCTGTACACACATACGATGGAAAAGTTATCGCAATTCAAACCTTCGGGATATTGCCAAGAACTTACTGTTTTCCTTCAGTGTATACGAATACGTTCAAACGTTATGTGTATATTAATGCGAAGTTATCAATCGTCACGTGTCTCCACGCGGGTGGCTAACTAGCTTTGTGCTGCCTTTTAAAATGAGTGGTCAAGTGGTACTGAGTGTACGCGTACGATCACTAGGGGCTGTCTGTGTGTAGTGTGTTGTAACATCTCTATTCAGCAGATATGTGGCATGCATTACCTATCGAACCAATCCTCCTACTCCGCTATATACAGACTCCTACGCAACTTACACCTACCATCCCCTACACTTTTGCCGATGTGGCTCGTATCCGTACTATCTTCCTCAACTACAGATAGACTGGTAGCTACCTTATGCCTACCTACACCGCACCCACTCGTGCCCATATCTCTCCTATCCTCCTCAGGGCGTGATGTGGCTCGCATCCCTACTATCTTCCTCAGCTACAGATAGACTCGTACCTGCCTTGTACCTACCTACTCCGCACCCACCCGTGCCCATATCCCTCCTATCATCTCAGGGCGTCATGTGACTCATATATCCCTACTATAGTCCTCAACTACAGATAGACTCGTACCTACCTTATACCTATCTACCCCGCACCCACCCGTGCCCACATCCCTCCTATCCTCCTCAGGGCGTGATGTGGCTCGTATCCCTGACAACAACCCTATCCGACAGCACGTGGGAGTACGCCCACGACATCTCCAACCAGTTTGTGTTTGGTGTGCCGTTCATTACCATGCAAGTCATGCGCTACTTCTACTTCGAGCCCTTTGAGAAGGTCTTCTTCTCCTGTCTGCGCGTGCAGGACAATGCCTTGGCCGAACGGCTGCTGAGCTACGAACCCAGGTGAGTGTGGATGTGTGGTGGTTATTTAGTGTGATATAAGGGAACTCGGGTGAGTGTGGGTGTGTGGTGATCATTAAGTAGGGTATAATTGAACGCAGGTGTGTGTAACTGTGGTGTGTGGACGTGTGTGGTGGTTGCTTAGCAACTGTGGTACTTTGACCATTGCTGGCACGGGTGTTGCATATGATACCTATCTCTGTGGAGTGCTAGGAGGCCGCTGGTTAATTTCTATCCTGTGTGGTGTACGACAAATTGGTATAGGGAGAGTATATATAAAGTAGAGTAAGGTGGATGGCAAAAGTTAACCAGCCATATATATCGAGCAGACGCTTGTGTTATGTGTGTACACACATTTATGCGGCTGGGGTTGTGGGGGGTTTGGGGGTGACGTGTTCGTACAGAGGAAAGCCATGCAGCGTATTATCTGCCTATGCACATACATTCATGGAGGTACTTTCACGGATTCTCTCAGAACCGAACACACCATGTACATGCACAGGTACATGGAATACACCATGTACATGCACAGATACATGTACATGCACATGTACATACACAGGTACATGTACATGCACAGGTACATGTACATGCACATGTTCGCGTACATGTATGTATGTGCTCATCACTCGGTCCCCGTGTGTGCGTAGGTCTAAGCAGAATATGATGATTGTGCTCAAGAAAACGTATCACTTGGTCAATATGTACGTAGGTCTGGTAAGGAGAATATGATGTTCATGCTCAAGAAAACGTATCACTTGGCCAATACGTATGTAGGTCTGGTAAGCTGAATATGATGATTATGCTCAAGAAAACGTATTACTTGGCCAATACGTATGTAGGTCTGGTAAGAAGAATATGATGATCATGCTCAAGAAAACGTACCACTTGGCTAAGCTTGGACTCGTGTACGCTCTGCTGTCGTCCATCCCAGTTGTCAAAGCAATAGCGCTCCCGATTTCTGAGTATTTGGGTGTGTGTCGCGATTTCTGCGTGTTTGGTTGGGTTGTCCTGATTTCGGAGTATTTGGGTATGTGTCGCGATTTCTGCGTATTTGGTTGGGTTGTCCTGATTTCTGAGTATTTGGGTATGTGTCGCGATTTCTGCGTATTTGGTTGGGTTGTTCCGATTTCTGAGTATTTGGGTATGTGTCCCTATTTCTGAGTGTTTGAATATGGTGCAAACTCCTTACCTGTTTTAAGGGTTTTTAGGGTTTGCTGTGTGTGCTGTGGATGTATGCCTAAGTTATGAGCTGAGATCATGGTCTTGCAAGTGTCGAATGAGAGCATTTGGAATGGAATCGTGACACGCACCATTGCTATTCGATGTCTGGGGATGTCAACTGTGTCAATGGACACCAGCAGCTACAACAAGAGAAGGATGCAGTCAACATACTAAACATTGAGCGTCTTCTTTGTTATTTGTTGTTCTTTTATTTATTTATTTCTTTTCTTTTCTTTTCTTTGTGGTTTGTGGCCACAGTTATGCATAAGAAATTCGGTGTCAAAGTGGGGCTACTGTACTTTGCGGCCTATGGCATTGGCCTGGGCGTCTATGCACATGCCGTACAGTCTTATTGGCTGGGCAGTCGCGTGCTTTCCGGCGAATTGATTGGTGCTACCTACCTGTTCAGGTGTCGTCTAAGCCATGAAGATAATTCCAAGTGAGTCTATGGATGTGACTTATCTCTTCGGATTTATATTTATATGGATATGGACATGTATGTATTTATGTGTATGTATACACGGCTCACAATACTCTCACTCGCGGCACACCATATTTAGTAGGCGTAGTTACCCGCATAGCTACATATCAACGTATTCAATAGATGCATAGACACCAAATGGTACCACAGCCCCTTCTCTGGTAGGTACCTGGTACACGGTCCACAATACTCTCACTCGCGGCACACCGTATTTAGTAGGCGTAGTTACCCGCAGAGTTACATAGCAACGTATTCAAGAGGCGCATACAGTCATATAGTCATATAGTATCCACCCGTGAATGTCGGGCAATATCGCATATCTCTCGTGTAGCCGCGTCAACTGCACCGAGCTTCCATCGGTATTGTAAGTCTTCGACCATGCATATATCCTACCATATCCCATGTGCATGTATTGTACCATTGTGCATGTATGCTACCATGTACCATGTGCATATATCCTACCATATCTCAGGTGCATGCATGCTACCATTGTGCATGTATGCTACCATTGTGCATGTATGCTACCATTGTGCATGTATGCTACCATGCACCATATATCTCGTCGTCTGTCCCGTTGACGGGTCTCTTGTCTTGCCCTCCCACAGACTCACTAAGAAGTTCGACTCAGTGTTCCTGGGCTTTGGTCTGCCCCTGTTCGTGGCCTTTGCGGTGCCATACATTGGGTATGACATATTCGTACATTGTGTTTTCTTTTGTTTTATATTATATTCTTATTTATTTACTGTTATTCTTTTTGTTTGCTTCATATTCTCTTTGCGCACGAATCATCGATCGGTGTATGTACTGTTTATTTATTTATTTTGGGGGGTTTTTTCTCGTTTTTCTGCTTTGGGCTTTTTTTAAACCGATTGACCTGATATGCGTTGTTTGTGGCACAGCATCCACCATCGTGTGCTAGGGTTTTAAGGTTTTTTGGAGCTTGACAAAGTCTACCTCATTCTTGCCCCAGCACACATCGACGTATTCATATTTGATGTTTGTATTCATATATAATGTTCGTATTCATATATGATGTATGTATTCATATTTGATGTTTGTATTTATGTAATGTTTTTATTCATATGTGATGTTTGTATTCATATCTGTTGTTTGTATTCATAGGTGATGTTCTTTCTCCTTGGCTCCTTCAGGTGTCTCTCCTTTGGCATTGCCTTTGCCGCTGCCTCGTCTCTCGCGTCGTATGTGGACAACAATTGTCGCGAGTACACGCACACCATCGACACACCCTCGCTACTATACTCCACGCGGCAAGAGAAACAGATTAAGACCGGTCTATTGAGCGATAGTAGGAAGGACATCTAGAGGCGCTAACTGTGATACATATATATATATATATATATATATATATATATATATATATATATATATATTATTATTTATTATATATATATATTATATATATATATTATATATATGTATACATATTTATATCTTTCTGCTGTGCAGGAAGAGCTTGTGGGTGAATCATGTATGAACGAGCTTACGATTATTATTAGAAATGGAACTGGATTGCGCATCATTTTCATTGTATTGTATGTTTCACTATAGTTTGGAGCATTAAATGTAAGGAGAAGAACAATTCACACGACTCTGTGGGGTAGTACAGTTCAATGTGAGCGCTTGGTCACCTTCGAACCTGCGCAATGGCATACCCTGACTATCATATTGCTGTGAGAAGAGTGGAATATAAAGAGGCGTCACATATGAAAGAACGCGTGTAATTGAGATCACATATGATGAAACAAGACTAATACCACACCCGACGAAATAAGTAATTACCCTTGAGCAGCAATTCTCACTACCCGCTGTGTATGAAATCACGTATACAATCTGCTGCGAACAAGAAAACACGCAAAGTTTTAGGCCAATGTCAAGTTCTCATACTTTGCAGATAGGTAAAAAAGCTATTTATAGAACACCTGTTTAGGCAAACCTCTATTAGGCTGCGCGCCTCCTCTTAATAGAACAGTCTACCGTTTCACCTCACACGCCATCTCGGCCAGTTGTGCCCATTCGCGTCGCTGTCTGAGCCGATTTTGCATTAGGTACCGCACCACTTACCACAGCAGATGGGGCTGGTGCAATTCAACCCTCTGACCGAATATACAGGTGCAGGTGCTCGCACCTCACAGCCAAGTACGGGCGCAGCCGGGTCCTCTCACCTCTCGTGTCGTCTCTACTAGAACGGGTGGTCCTAAATATGTTTATGATCATGTTCATGGCACGCTCAAAGTCGCGTGCGTGATACGTGTGCAACCTCTACTTCAGGCGTCACCTATCCTCCACACCCACAGCGGAGTCCATACCGCAACCGTTCGACAGACCCATCTGTGTGCCCCAGATTGTTTGCGCATGCACCCGCCCCCATATTCTCAGGACAGGGCCTCGGTGCACCTCGTATGTCACCCCCAAACCACACCGCCGTCCAGATGACCTCTCAGTAGCAGGAGCGGACGATATCCGCGCGCCTCATCTCCAGACAATACGTTCAATTATCACGTGTGGTAAACCCGGCTGTCCCAAACTCAGCTACATAATGATCCTAGGGTTTTAACCCTACACCCTGAAACCCTGGCTAGCCACCTCCCCTACGTGCTCTCACGTGGAGTTGTCGCATTTAGTCTCTTTATCGTGTTAATTTGTCGGCGAAGTGAATAAGTGAGTCTTATTTTGTCAGCCAAGTGAATAAGTGAGTCTTATTTTGTCAGCCAAGTGAATAAGAGAGTCTTGTTTTGTCAACCGAGTGAATAAGAGTTTTACTTTGTCCACTCCCTCTCATTGGGTGCCCTCGGCGGCTTCTTTGGCGGTCTTCAACTTGTACATGACATCCATCATTGCATCGCTAGCAACGTCGATGGGGCCTAGATCAGCAGTGTTCTTTGCATACTGTGGCAAAGCCAAACAGAGGACAGGAATCGAAGAATGGGTTATCAAGGACAACCGAACAACAGATGGCAATAATCGAATAGGCACAATAATAATTGAAGAATGGGTGCAACCATCGGAATATAGGTACAACAATCGAAGAATAGGAATCGAAGAATAGGTACAATAATCGAAGAATGGGTACAATAATCGAAGAATAGGTATAATAATCGAAGAATAGGTACGATAATCGAAGAATAGGTACAACAATCGAACAACAGGTACAATAAACGAGAGAAAAATAAGTTACAATAATCGAAGAATAGGCACAACAATCAAAGAATAGTTACAGTAATCGAAATATAGGTACAATAATCGAAAAAGAGGTACAATAATCAAAGAACAGGTACAATAATCAAAGAAAAGGTTAATAAGGACAAAAAATAAGACCTGCATATCAACCGGTACCCGCTAGGTGTTTAAACGTATTCAGGTAATATGCGGTAGGAACGCACATCGACAGGCAAAAGGGGGTCAGATTGCCCAGATATCTAATTGCGTACACGCGTATATGGTAGTCGACTCAGGTGTCTGTGCTGTCTTTTCTCTAATCTCAGGTCGTGTCGTATGTGTGGGGCGTTCATGTCTTTAGGGTCAAATACTGCTCCATCTCACCAAGTAAAGATTGCTCACTGGCGTATATACGTGTGTAGACGATCCTAAAACCCTAAAATATAAACCCTAAAATAAACAAACCCAAGAACGAATTCTGTGCATAAGCCTATCGGTGACTCATACCATAATCCCAGGGTTGGTTTCGTAGAATAGCTCCACCACATCCCGACTTTCCTCGCTCATGGCAGTGTGCCTGTGACATGTCATGAAACCAAAATTAGAAGAAAGATGCTTAAAGATCATTGAGTATATGTACACATGAATGTTAAATACTCGAAGATCATTGGGTATATGTATACATTGAATGTTTACAAATGTGCGCGGATTGTTAGCCATACACACAACACATACGATAAGGATGATATGCGCTATATGCGAATAATGCTCAACGTAAACTACACACATATGTACACACACAC